TTGAACAGTTTATGTCGATTTGTATTCAAGGTATGAAAATTCAATCACGTCAAAAAATGACGTTGGTTATTTGTGATTTATATTGAACTCAAAAAGCAAACTGTGCTGGCAAGGATCTCTCCCAGTGTATTAATCCACACGCAATATCATATGCATTGAAAGCAGTCTTTTATGTCATTGTAGATGCATAGAAACAAGACAGGTTTAAGTCCTTATTCAAGTCCAGGAAACTTCATCAATATAAGTGTATGAAGTAGAAGAATCGGACTCAGAAAATTATGAAGTTTTGGGGCGTCATAAAGTTAAACGACGACAGCACCGGGTCATCATATAATGTCGTTTTTATTTTATTATAATTTGGCAAAAAATGAACGTATGAAGCTAAAAATTTCAACATTTCTTTTTTTTTGTTGTTGTTGCTTTATGTTCCTTATAAATTTTGAAAGCACAGACTACATAGTATTAGTTTTATCGCCAAAGTCCACGAATGTTATAATAACCCCTCGTAAATACCGTGTTCTTATTATCTGCTATACACTCAGAGGAAGCTTTTGTGAAGTTCTTATTAATTAAATGGATAATATGCAAATATGTGGTGACCATTATACTGAACAGAATCGGTTAGGATATGCTTTCCTATCTCGCTTGGATTGGTTAGCAGGTCAGATTTATATATGTGTTTGGTAATTTTTTTATTCGCCCCCTTCCAAAACGTATAGAAAAAAAAATATTAAAATGGAGTGCAAAGGAAGAACAGATAAAGAAACACATTGAAATCAATCCATTGTTAAAGGTCAAGTATCATGAAAATAAAAACGCTCTAAAGGTTGATATATTGTCAATGCCATATATTAAATGAAGATTTTAAAGTTTCCAATTTTTTAATGACACCTACATGCTTGATTTACCTGTTTGAAAACTGACAATTTCTATTATCCCCGACGATGTTACCTCCCCTGTTCATGACGTCATTCGAGACATCAATATCAAAACAAAGATCGACTCACCATATATCATAACGCTCCGACTACGACATGGCTCATTTTATGGAAGATAATGACAGTGACGGTGAAATACCCGAAGTTGATTTGACACTGCATATACAGCCATACATGTTTGAACCTTTGGGTAAAGATCGTTCTACTAATACATGTAATAGTTTGTCAGAAAGTGATCATCATGAATCGCACTCGGAATCGGGAAGGGAATCGCCGACAAGCTCTGAAGACGTCACTAGGGAACCTGTCGAGAGTTGGTATGTAGGTTAGGCCTAATTAATTTATTGTGTTTTTACATGTATATTACGTTTAGCCACAAAAATAAAATGACATGCATCAGGCTCCCGGGCGTACATATTAGGAAACATCTTAAGGTAAAACTGATATCAGTGGTGGCGTCTCCTTATGACTTATGAGTGAAAATTTTAGAGAGGGGTGTTAAATAACATAAAATCAATCAATCAATACAGGAATTTTAAAGTTATGTCTCCTTATTTATTTATTTATTTGCTTGTCAGATTTGTTTGCCTGAACGTTCTATGATACAGTGTTTAACAATTTTTTAACCAGAACCCAAATGCGAGATTTATTATGCCCTCACTTCAGGTGTAATTGTGGAAACTGTGTGGAAATGCCTACTAGCAGGGAAAACAAATGCTGCCGAAACACCAACATAGTAAATGGAAAGGTCGATGAGAAATCTCTCCAATGTATTACTGAGCATGAAGGTTTCATCGTAAATTGTTTAAATCATTATGTGTTGGAGACTTCTTACTATGAATACATACAGGATAATGGCAGACAAAATGAAAGAGAACCCATTCATGAGTAAGATTCATAGACAGGACAAGGGAGGGAGGTGTTCCTTCCGAAGGGAATTTCAGCATTGTTGATTACAGGGTTTCCCTAAGACCCAGGGGCCGGAGAATTTTCCTGCATATAATGATGTAATCCTCAGTTACTCTGTAATCCAGTTAAGCCCCTAGCTGTAAGCGGAAGAATCTACACCTTCTATTAAATTATTTTTAGGATGATTTTCCCCTTAGTTTGGACTTTCAGTAGGGCGTGGCATTCCCGGCGCTACGTAATAGCGAATACTAGTAGATTCTCATCGGTAAAGAAATTAATAACATCAGGAACTTAAAATTGTTGTTGACAACGATGAGACGACTTATACCCCACCTCTGTGCCATTAGAGAACTTTTAATTGGCTATTTACTACACCAGTTGACATTCGGCCGCATTTCTATCATATGTACATTTCAACAGTGAAGGGAAGCTGTGTAAATTTCAGAAGTTAATTAGGTAACGTCGAGAATGCCAGGCTTACTGAAAGTCGAAACTAAGCGTGTAATTGTCCTAAATGTTCCCTGCTAGGTATTTCAATAAATAGGGACAAACCTGTTGAAATATCAAAACAAGGATTTAATTTTACTTTACAATTCACAAAATAATGACAATTAAAAAAAAAGATCAACTCAGTCTCATGGAAAGTCCACTTTTCCTCACAATTTTGTCTTTCCTGTTCAGGTATCATTTTCCTTTTCTTCCGAGTGATATGGCCACCTCTCCCCCTTTTTACTGTCAAAACTTTCAGTCCAAAGTACATGTAATAAATGATTAGTCGAATATTTAAAAAAAAATGTTTGTTTGCCCTTTACCAACCCAGATTTTTTTAACAATGGGCAGGTAGGTAGGAGAAATATTTAATTTTCTCTTCTTAAAATTATAACAAGAAGCATGAGGGTCACAATGCTCGACTGCGTCATTTTCCTCTTGCTGCTCTTCAAAAGGTTGTTTTGAAAAAAATTCCATCTAAATTCCTTTGAAAGAACGTGGGTCCAAACGTCATGTAAAATTTAATCCCCAGTTTTAACCCCAACCTAACACCAGTGTCCCTCTTTGAACAAAATTGAATCTTCAGAATGTGTCGATTTCACATTCTATATTCTCACCAATATCTAAGGAGGTAAGGGCTGCAAGCACTGAATAAACAAAAAAGGTAGTCCATTATATTTATAAGTAAAACTAGTCACTACTAAATTAAGCATCTAAATGACCTCAAAGAACATTTTTAAACTGGGTTGAAATGATTCAACTACCAGGGTAAAAAAAAATTGTATATGAAAAAAGCAATAAAATATTTTGAGTCGGGCTAATTTCGATAGTTCGGTCAGCTAAGGGCAAACAAACATTTTAATTTAGGCCTAAATAAGTGCACATATAGGATTATGTTGAGCATATCCTCTGCAATATTTCAGACTTTACAGACATCTTGCCTACAGAAGATTTGTTCGGTGGGTTTATCATATTCTTGGGAAGAAGAATAGACGTATTCTACCATCTTGTGTTGTCAGCAAAATCAGACAGACTTTTCCTTCCCAAACCTATTGTGGTTTTAAATATCCAGAATAATGATAGAATTTGGAAATATTATATTTATTCAATAAAATCTGGATCTATGAGTAGCCACAATGTCTTCTTTTCTAGCCCTTCCTTCCATCTGAGCAATTGGTCTCGGTCTTTCTTTCTCATTTATTGCTTTGGCTGCTCTCGCCTCTCCATAAGAATTGTGGACTTCTCTCCTGAAGATGAGGTCTTCAAACAGTTCATTCACATAATCTGTCAATTGAAACAAGCAAGCAACTGGACATTATGCAGGATTTATTATTTCTACAAGACCAGATATAAAAAAGGAATCCTATTTTTCCATGTGAAAAATTAAATCTTATCTCCATCCGAGAAACCCTATTATACCCTGTACAGGTATTTGATACTCCTTGCAAACCAAGGAGTTTTAGTAATTGATATTAAAACTGCATTACCTATTCCGTACATTCCGATGCACTCAAAAATGATTTATTATTGATAGTTTACCGAAGCTTAAAATTTTGGCAATCACCTTCCTTTCAAATACCTCTAGTATCAGTCTATATTAAAAACTTATTTGTAGAAGGCCAACATACAATACTGGTATCTTACAAGGATAACACTTTTTGGCTTGAGAATTTAAATGAAGAGGTATATAACTATATTCATGCACTTACTAAAAGTTTGTTGAATTTTTACTTCTTTGGCAACTCCTTCACCCTTCCTTCCCTTTGGGTATGAAACACTGTATATCATATCACCATCTTGATTTTTTGCCTGCTCCCTGGTTGAATTTTCATTAAAATGCAATGTGGCTAAATATAACCTATAAAAAGTTATAAAAAGTGATTATGAAAATAATTTTATGAAACTTTTCATATAAAAAAAGAGGCCCATGGGCCACAGCACTCACTTGAGCACATTTGCTCTGAAAAGCACAAATCAGTTTAGTATTGAAAAAATACATGTTCAATGGGGGAGGGGGGACTTAAATTTTAGACTTCCTAAAGATGCTTCCACATTAATATAACAAATGGCTTTGATGTTCTTGAATATAAGATTTTTAAACATGTTTTCCTATATATTCCTTTGTAAAAATTTGATCCTCCATTGTGGCCCCTCATTGTGGGGGTTTTGATTTGAACAAATTTGAATCTAGCTGCAGAACTGAGGAGTAAGAATTTTTTTGAAATCTAGCTTTTTTGCAATTGAGGTAAGAATTTGAAAGAATTAATACAGAACTGTGCACACTTTTCTGTGCACTTTTAATACACATTTTTTCAATTGGTGGCACTGTAGCTATTCAGTCTGTCAATATATTCTTAATCTTCACTACCTGAGGATGATTCCATATCAACATTACCAATCATAGTTTTGCTGTTCTTGAGAAGATTTTTAAAGATTTATTCCTATACATTAGTGATTACCAGTACTATGTAAAACTTACCCCTAGAGTTCATCATTTTAACAAACTTAGTCTACACAACGTAAGGAAAGTTTCACATACATGTATATGTTTCAACTCTTGGTTCAGTGGTTCTTGAAAAAGAGAATTTTGAAACATGCCACCAAATTTTCACTTTTTCTTAATTATCTCCCCTTGAAAAGGGGTGTGGCCTTTCATTTGAGCAAACTTGATTCCCCTTTGTGGCAAGTTTGGTCGAAAAATTGTTCTGGAGAAGTCAAAAATGTGAAAAGTTTACAGACGGATGGACAGCTGGACAGACGGGCTACATGTATAGACAAAATGTGATCAGAAAAGGTCACTTGAATTTCAGCTCAGGTGAGCTAAAAAACCTTAGTGTAAATTAAAGGCTTAAGTAATTCATGCAATACACCTCAAAATAAAGCTTTCAATTTTCAAAGTTCCTTAGAGTTAATTACGTACCGTGCTTCCATTTGTGCATGGAAGAAGTGCACAAACTTAGGGGCAAAATGACAGAGCACCTTGTGGAAAGCCTCAAGCCCAGAAGTCTGTTCTGCAGGAGACATTTTTCTGATATCTGTCAAAAGAAGCCGGCCTTTGACAACCTTTTCCAACTCATCGTAAGCTTTGGAACCTAAAAACATTGATATCTTGTCATAAAGGATGTATTTTTGGAGTTCTAATGCTGGAAATATTAAAATAAGGGTGGGGGGCAACAGTCTTTTACAGGAAAAGCTAGTATTTAATTAAGCAGTAAACCACACATATAACAAACTTGTTTATAATGAATTGACACTTACTGCGAAGTGATTTTCATCATATTCATTCCCCTTGACTTAAAAATGTATTAAAAACTTAAACGGATACAAGGAATTACTATATATATATTTAGATATTAAAATATATATAATAACTTATAATAACTCTCTCTCTCTCTCTCTCTCGCTCTCTCTCTCTCTCTCTCTCTCTCTCTCTCTCTCTATATGTATAGATTTATATGTGTGTGTACCTCTACGAATCCAAAGACGGTCTTCAAGATCTCCATGTTCACACCTGGGAAACTCTGCACCATGCCCCTCATGAACATTACACACGTGATTCAAAATAGAACACCACTTCTGGTACACCAACTCACCATCTCCGCCACTACTCATTGCACACCAGTAAGTGTGATTGCTGATGGACCTTGCCCAATCTCCAACAATTTCACAGTTTTTCTTCTTGCTCACAGCTTCTAACTTCTTGTAAATTCCTGAGACAAGAATTAATTGATTTTTTCACTAATTTCAATACATAAATATACTATTTTATCATATTTTGAATATTTTCAATGAAATATAATTCATTATTATTCATGACATTGAACACAGATTATTTAACAAGTTTTTATACACTATCAAAATCAGACAGTTTTGTCATTATATGTACACTTTATATCTTGAGGCAGGGCCCAAGTTAGCTTACAAATGAATTTTTACTTTATACATGTTTATATCAAGGTACATGTTTATGTATGTTTTGAAACTCAAAGATACTTGTAAAATAATTTTTTAACATATGATCAGATGTATAGAGTATACATAATTATAAAGGAAAGTTACCTTTAGCAATGTGCCAGCAATCAAACCAATGTATTATTTCTGGATGGGTTTCACGCATGTACTTTTTTATCTGAGAATGGCGGTCAGTAACCAAATGTGAAATCTGTAGATCCTCATCTGCAATTCTGGCAAGCCCTCTTTGTAAACCCTCCAGCTCCATGGCATACGAGTTTCTAACTTCATTTTTCTATGATTAAAAATAAGCATGGTTCATTAAAAGCAACAACAAAAAAAATTAAATTCTGTCTCATAGTTCAATTTTACTTCAAGAAAATTAAGAAATATCTATTTAAAACATAATGTCAAAATGATAATTTCAAATTAAGCATTTTTTCATTGTTTTGATAGTTTGTAATTACCTGCACAAGCTGTGTATCCAGGATTTTGTTTGTCTTCAGATCCATCAAAGTGTATGAAAGATATTTGGCTGTGTGGCCAGGTGAGCAACACCGTCCATCTCCACCCAGCCTCAAAGGTTCTCCAGACTCCTGTGCTGCTGTAAAGAGATGTAACTGCTCTCTTTGCCAAACATCTTCTATAGTTGGGACTAAATACAATGACTGAATTTTCATGTATGTTCCAATGCTGAACATCTGAACTGAAGCATGTCTACACAATGTTAAGAATTTGTGAGCACTGCCCCCAGAAAATAACACAGCTCCTGCAATGATTAAATTACCAAGGGGCATAGCACTAGATGTAGGCTGACTTTCCCATTTTTTCTGAGCACTGCAGTTTTCACATAAACTCTTAATGCTAATGTATGAGCCTATGATAGTCTTTCTTAATGTACATTGGCATCCACAATTGTAGCAAGATGTAAATAATTGATCTAAGCAGGATTCAAAAACTATAAACTTTCTTTCCTTAGCAGGGTTAATGTCTTGTTCAGAATCGTGCTCCTCATTCTCACTTTCCGGAACCCAGTCTGAGTCTGTGTCATTGTCATCCCCTTCATCTGTGGATGTCAGGAAGCTGTTGTCAAGATATTCAGATATTCTCTCTTCAGTCTGAGTTCCTGTAGAAACCTTTTCCACATCAGGAGGAGATAAAATGTTTATTTCTGTTTGTAGTTTTACATGGCGTCGCTTCTAAAATAAACCCAAAGAATCAAATTAATGGAATGGGGAAGTGCAACAAACATTTGATCTTGTACAGTATATCAATCATGTCATGTTATTCTCATTAATAGGTTTACTGGTTATATTGATATGAAGATATTGGTATGATTATAATGAAAAATTAAGTAAATGTGGTATATGTATATAACATGCACATCATAAGAAATATCAAAAACTCAAATCATAATTTTTTACCCCTTTTGAACCAGACCTCCCCTTTTTAAAAGGAGCAGCCATAAACATTTAAGTAAACTTACAACTACATCATATGTTGTCTGGGACATTGTGGAATAGCACTGAACTTGTTGAACATTTGTTTCTTTAAAATTTGCTGGACAGACTGTGTCACCTGATCTTTGATCATCTTGTGGTTGTGGTAATTCATCATTGTCAATATCACTGGCATCTAAAATCTGCAATGCATCAATACTCATCTATATTTAGCGCAAGCAATTAAATAATCCAAAAATATACATTGGTGCATTATACAGTGACCGATCCAGGAATCTTGAAAAAAAGGGGTACTAGTCTGGGGTTAGGGTAGATAGAATGTTCTATCGTTAAAATGATAAATGTCCTAAGGACCCAGATTAACTTGATACTTTAAGGGGCATATTGTCACACCAAAATAAAATTTGATATATTTTGCACATGGGGGGGGGGGGGGGGGGCTGAACCTCCATTTAAATCTGCCGCCCCTCTAAATGCGCCAGTGCATTATACATGTACATGTTATAACATATGTGTTAAAATACACGTTACCTTGTTTATATACACATAGATATTCGTGATATGATTCGCCACTCTTGTGATAAAAATACATTCGTGATCAAAATAAATGACTAGGAATGCATATGCCTAAACAAAAATAATTATTATTGACCACCGTCCGTTAACATTTTGTTAATCAGTTCCGAATATTAACTTAAACTATTAACATTGTTACCATGTTTACGTTTTGAAGATGTGCATATGTTGGTCGAATTTCCTCTACTTGTTTTATCAATATTATAACCAGATTTCTATATTGCAAAATATTAAAATGTTTTAAATAGTGGTTTTCAAAATTATTTTCTTACGTTATAGCGTCTTCTTTTGGTGATTTTCGCAAGGGCATCTGACTTGGAACGACCAACCATGCTAACGTCTGGCCTGTCAATGTCATGTTGCTGAGACGTGGGGCTAGCTGATCTTTTAACCGATAGCCTTTTTTCTTTGGGATCCGTGTAATCGAATAGAGATGGCACAGCTCCTGATTTCAAGATCTTGTTTTTTAACTGAAACTTTACGTTGTTTGCAATGTCAGGATTTATCGAGAATTGATCTTTGTCAAAATGTCGTTCACAAAGTTTACTGTATTGAGTAGGATGAAAACCGTCTCTTCTCAATTTGAGAGTCCAAATTTTTCTAAATTTGGGATCTTTCGGAAACAAATACAGGCTAATTCCCTGGCCAGATTTTATTGTGCAGTTAAGTGCGGCACACTGCACCATATTTTCACAAAATTTACAAGAACTTATCTCTCGCTCATTACCCTCTTCAGCGTCCTTTGGGCGAGTGTCTCGAATGACGTCATTTTCTCGAAGGGAGATAACTTGTTTGTAAAGAGATTGGTTACGGTGCAGGTGTATATTTAATACCAGTTTAAATGGTTTATTGCTGTTAATAAAGCAAATTATAATCCAGCATTTTATTTTGGTAATATTTGCGAAGTGTTTAAACCAGAAAAACTTAGATTTTCATATATCTTTCTACTTGACCTTTAAATATGCGCTCACCTATACTTAATTCTTATAATAGACACAAAAATCAAATAAAATATTCGGATAAATTTTATTACAAATTTGTCATTGAAAGATAATACACATTGTATATGAGAAAAAAGTCGAAAATGCCCATGCAGTAGTTTATATCGAAGGGATGGGGGTGATGGGAAGGGGGAAAGGGGGGAGGCTGGTGGTCTTGTCCCAAAGCACCTGTTAAAATTTTAAGCAGTATACAATGCGTTAGATTGACATAAGAATATTGAAATCTATATAAAAGCTGTAAAAACAATTGAATGTTTATCACTATTTAGAGATTTAAGAAAGAAAAAGACAAGACAAACTTAAGCGACATTTAATTAAATTTTGATTCGAGTATCAGATCATTTTTTTTTTATCACTCAATTTTTTTTTCTAAATCTAAATAGAAAATTAAATAACATTTGAATTTTACGAGTCAACAGTTAAATTGGAATCATTAATTTTATAAAATTATAAGAAGCATTTAGATATATTTGTCAGTATATAGTCACAGTTAAACAATTAAGTAAACACGTAAAAGACAATTGAACATCTAACCGTAGGTGATTACCAGTTTTAGGTACAACCTGTACCTCGAGTGTAATGGCTGATTTTGCGCATATTGAAAGAATGCGAAACGCGCACCATATTTTATTAACCAATAGTCTATTTATAGAGTTTCTGTCCTTGCGCCAGCTATTCAATTTTATTTAAAGATTACAGTGTATATTATCAAAACCTTTACAAAATTAAATTTGAACATTAATCTAATTGTTTTCTATTTTCTATTAATTTTCAGTGCAGTGATTTGAATTTATAATATTATTATTTTGTTTAGTAGATCTCTCAGATTTAAACTGGTTCTTCAAGTTATTTATTAATACTCACTATACTGACGCCCCTGTAATGAACTGAACGTGATCGGGATAGAGATTGAGAGTAATGCATGTTACGGTAAGAATGTTGTTAATCTTGTGATTTATTTAACTTGAATTATACTAAATATTATATCCTTTTATCGTTAATATTATAAATACTGGTATTCTGTTTATTTAAATATAGAGATCACACGCGCAGTAAAAGTACGCGTGGGTGACTTGGTGTGGCATCTCCATATTTGGTGGTATGTGTTAAGTTGAATTAAAATTCATATACGGATTAATTCTTTTATTTTTGTTTGTGTGTTCTATTGGTAATGTTTGTATATATTTTTGTTTGTTTGTAGCTCATTGCCATTTTGATAATTTATTTTAAAATAAAGAACCATAAAACGAACTTGACTTTATTCGTTACAGGAGTTTATCTCGATATCTTTCAGTTTAATAGTAAATGTAATGATTATGATAATCTACTATATTAATAGTAATTTTGTAATAGTAAAGAGTGGAGATTAAACTGGTGAAAGATGAATAACCTGATAAAGACGTGTTACGCGTTCATCGTCACGGTTGATTGGAAAACATTAAGGCCCTCTCGGACGAAGGTTTAGAATATTTTATTGGGAACAAGTTTTCCATCGCCTGCACAGCAACCCGTTGTTGCCTTTGTCTTCACTTACACAACGTAAAAGCAAGAACTAATAGAACTTTTGCCAACTTTTATAAAATTACAAGCAATGCATGTCGCCTATAGATACTGAGAAACAGTATTGTCTTCATTGTCTTCAAATTGTCTTCATCAAGTTTAGTGGGTTTTTTTTGTTTGTTTTTTTTTTTTTTTTTTTTGGTTTTTGGTACTCTCTCTACGTTACGTCATACAATTCACGATTGAATAATTCTGAACACTGATTTTGGTGCATAGTAACCAAGATTCTCATCTGACCAATTTTCAAAATTTTTGGTCTTGCGGTAAAAGAATTTTGTATATTATGTTATGCTTAACTTCTTTTTCTTTCAATATATACAGTATTTCAATATTCACAGTAGCTCAGTAGGTAGAGAGCTCGCTCCATGATCGGAAGGTCGTGATTTTGCATCTCTGCTGCGACTGACCTAAATAGATAAAAAAAAAAATGGGTTGTAACTGTTCCTTCGCGATGCGCTCAGAACTTTGAAGTGAAAGTTGCGGGCCCTTCGGATGAGACCTTAAAAACCGAGGCCCGTTTCTCGGCAGACGTTGGCACGATGAAGATCCCTCACTGCTCAAAGGCCCTGAGTGCCGAATAAAGGTCACTTTAATTTAAAGCCCTTCACCGGTATATGATGACGTCTCCATATGAGTGAAAAATTCTCGAATGTCCCATGTAAAACAACATACATGTACAATTAAACAATAAATCTTTCAATACATATTAAAGAGGAGATCAAGAACTTTTAATTATCGTTTTTTTTTAGCGAATCAGGTCAATTTTAATATCTTTATATGTCTGTATCTGGGAAAAGGCTCTTATATCTTTATAACACATTGAACCTGTATTTTTCTCAATGTTTTCGCTAAACATATATTTTTCTAAATGTGTTTGCTAAAAAATTATGTTCCAGGTTTCAATCCAAGGTTCACTTACATGTGTGAAGCATCATTTCTTAAATTTAAGACGATCGGAAGGCTCCATTTATGAATTGGATTCTACCATTAAATTTTCCTTTCTTAATTTTTTCTCCATTTCTTAAATACATATAATAATTTATTTTCTCATCTAATACAGATTGAATGAATGAAGTTAAACTGAACTCTGAATTTAATTTCATACGACTAGTGTGTGTGTGTGTGTGTGTGTCTTATTATGTATACAGTAGTCGCAAACCTCTGTGAGTCCATCCTTTGTAAATGGAGCCTTCCTGACAACACACTTCTTCTCCAACCTTATCATCGAACTTCTTCTCCATATTCAGAACCAGAATGAAGAATGCCCGCGGACTCAGAAAAATCTGGTGTGAGGCATAATATGAACACTGTCCCGCAAAGTCTACCATAGTGATTTTTTTTTCAATGTCAGGTGAGACATGTTTTAAAACTGGTAAAATTCCCAAACTTTCTAAACCTTTAACAACATTTTCATATTCTTCCGTTTTAGTAAATACAGTTGCTTCATTTCTGTTGAATTGTTCGGTTCCACTGATTTTTTTATCCTTTTGCTCATTAATATCTAGAGTTTTCCTGTCAGCATTTAAAGGAGTTTCTGGAACTTTACGGTGCCGTGTTATTTCATCAATTTTAACCTTGAAGCGTTGTTTTCGATTTGACAGCTTCACTGCAAAGAAATCAAAGATTTGTGAAAATTTTAAAGAAAAAATGAAGTTTTAGATTTTGAATCCAAACATTTTTTTGCAACATGAATCAAATTCTACATGAAAAGCTCACATGAATTGTTAGCTCAGGTGAGCATAAAATGAAACAGCTCACTTTTTCAAGAGTTTTTCCTATAAATTCCGATGTTCGACCTTGATCCTCTTTTGTAGTCCAAACCTACCTTCGAGGGTATTATTTGTACTATTTAAAATCTAAACTATCTCAAGAAGTTATCAAAATTTAATTGCTTCTGACCTAGTAGTTCTTGGGATTATGATGATTTTTTTAAGACTCCAATCACCCTATTATTGTTTACACTTGATTATCTGCCCTTAGACAAGACTGGCCATTCATTTGACAGATAAAAATGTTTTTTACCTCCAGATACTCATGTCAATTTTGGTTTTAATTAGCAAAGTATTCTCTAGAAGAATTTTTAAAATTTGAAGAAAATGACAGACGGACTGACAGACAGATAGCTAAAGATAGACAGAAAGATACATAATCACCTGTCAATGGATGATCAAAAATTAAATGAGCTTTCAGCCGAGAACAGCTGAACAAAATAAATTTTTGGAGTAAATATTGTTCAGCTATTTAAAAAAAAACATGTCCAAAGAATAGAAAATCAAAGTAACGGGGTAATCAATTTACGTTAGAAAAATTTGACAGGAACTTTTCTTTTTTTTTCTTATTGTAGGGACAGATGAATTTTTTGGTCATTGTTTGTTTGTTTTTTTATGTGTTACAATTACCCAGTAAATCTAATATTACCTTTAATTGAATCTGAAACATCAAAAATATCACATTGAACATCAATTCCTCTGGTTGATTTCGTATCTTTTTGAATTTTTTTAACACTATTTCCCTTTAGTCTCTCTAGCAATGTTGTTTTTCCACTACCAGCACAACCAATAATCATTCCAGTGGCGTGGTACATCGTCGTTTCCCCTTTCTTTAAATTTTCTATGAAGACTTTTACTGAGTTGTCCCCCCTCATTATCACCTGCAGTGGTATGCCAACTAAAACAGAAGAAAATTTCGAATTTAAGGAGATTTTCTCTGTACCAAAATTGTTTTTATAAAAATTTGGTATCAAATGACCGTTTTTCTGGTCTTATATGAAATGTAACAGTATATATTCTTTACAACAGGCCCATGAGCTTAACCGGCTATGTGTAAATTAAGGGGGCCGACTTTAGTTTCCATTGCACAATATTTCGCGCATCATAGTAAAATAAAACGTATTTATTACTTTTTTAAAGCAATTTTTTTCGCTTTATTATTAAAATTAAGCAAAATTAAGAATTTATAGGCAAAAAATGTAATTACAATTTTATAAAACTGATTTTTAACCGATTTTTCATTTGATAGGTACATGTACATTGACGTCGTTACAGTGTGTTTTTCGACGTTATGATAAAGTGAAGCTCTTAAAGAAATGGGGTAATAAGAATGTTATTAAAGAGAAAGTAATAAACACAAGCTCTTGAAATTTAAAACATAGAGGTTTAAGAATATCTCCGTTATTTTTATTATGTTTCCATATAAATCCTTTGTGCCCGCCATATTTTGTAGCAATCTATAAATACAGGAATATTTGTTAATATTTGGCATTTTGAGATGCCTCCTCTGGTAACATGACGGTAGAAATTTGTGTTTCTTACAAATATTGTATGATATAGGATAACTCATCAAATATTATAGCTTGAACAAAAAGTCTATTGAAGTATTTGTAAAATTTGCTTTAAAGTGTGGAAATTGGCATTTACCTATATAATCCTGATATACTAGTAAATGTACCTGTATTTTGAGACGCTCCCTATTGTAGTTTTCACACAATAAAACCTCAGTCGGCCCCCTTAAAATGATCCACCGAGGTATAAAATAAAACAAAAGAAATTAAGAAATGAAGGTACATTTCACCAAAGCAAGAAAAATAGGATATTGAGAAATCAACAAAAAGGTTTAGTTAAAACTCATAAAAGATATAAATCATATCGTAGATCTATTCACTTGCCAGCAACAATACATGTCTTCTTCACTATTATATTGCAGATTAAATGGTACAGTTATGCTTGAAGATATGAAATTCAGTTAACGCCTTTTATTCCCCAACTGTGGTCTCCCTTGTTCACTGAAGAATGTATATTAATTTTAAAAAGATGATTAATTTTTTTGTTTCCATTTTCATTTACCCACTATAATTTACAAGTTCATTCAACAATCTCAAGCTATGGAACAACTTTTTGTATTGACTCAAACATTCAAGTTTCTTGTTTGTTTCTTTTCCCTTAATCTGACTCATATTTTTTACATTATTTGGAGTATTATATCATTAAAAACAGTTACTCCTCTCTCCTAGAGAACGATATGATATTTTTAAAGATTAGTAGTTAGAATTGTCTAAAATGGACAAATACTCCAATTTGGTTTTTAGATAAGGTGCCATGTTACTTATACTATAGTATTTGATGGATCTAAGATGCGTTCACGATTAGTTTGATCATATTGAATTTATTTTTAATTGCTCATTATATATTTTAACGAATGAAACTAAGACATCAGAGGAAAACGCAGCATTGAGGAGAGATTAGAACGTGTTCAAGAACAAACGAACGATACGATATATATATAACAACTGAGCTGCAGAGGGAAAAAACAGAATAAGACGGTATTCGAAAAAGAATATAGCCGAATGAAGGATTCCATAGTTCGACTGGAGTATTGTTAAAAACTCCATGTGAACATATTCTAGAGCTTAAACACCCAATTTTACGTCAACGCCCAAAAATCTACCCGATTCAAGATCAATAATTTAGTCAATCATTTAAAGAACAATAGCTTCTGATTTGATTGACAGGCCAGCTACCTGTTGTACCTGAAAATCTGAATTTGCTTGTTTTGAAAACAATTGCTCGCCTGGTCACACGTCAACCACTTTTATGTACCCGCGGGCTAAAAAATCCCAAATCGTGTTGGTAATTTTGTTGTTAAACAAAAAAAATCCATTCTCTTGATGCCATTAAACATAACCTTTATTTTCTTGGATTTAATCTAACAAGAAAAAATAAATTAAATGATTTCATTACAAGATTTTTCTGGTAAAATAGAGCTAAAGGGGTACAATAAAGACTTGATATGCCATCTTGGAGTGAAATTAAAATAATAGATGGCAATGGAAATATTTAACAAAAAACTGTTTAGTCAATAAGTTAAAGTGTGACGTTTATATCCAAATATACAAATACAGAAATATTGCAAGATGAATTCCAAATCAGACTGACTAAATCTTTTACAAAATGTGGAAGAGAACTTGTACTTTGTGTCCACCATTCTTTCATCAACTGTCATTTCTCTGTAAGACTGGAGGAAATTCTTTGACTTGTCCAATAGATAATCATTTGCTGTCAAGTACAAGTGATCAGCTTCTATAAAAGATTTAAATATTTTGAAACAGATATGTGAATTTACATTAATAGATAAAATTAAGAATGCTACAATAAATACAATGAGATGATTTTCCTTTTAAAATAAAAATTTTATTAATCATTTGATTCAAGTAGTTAAATGATATTGTTAATTAGTCAATGTATCAGGACTGAAAAGTCAACAACCTTGTAGTAAACCATCATGGTTGAATTACTGAAATAAAACAAATAGCATATTTGGCGATCTGACTAAGCCAGAGCTCTATTTATGCTATCACGACATATAAAAAAATCGGGGAGCGGATGGAAGATCTTATTTTGATTAGATTGCTTCGAAAGCCATGAAGGGACACATCAATTTTAAAAAAAAAAGTAATAAGTATTTATTTTAGATCTCGAATTATACAATCTGTTCCCATGGATTATCAATTTGTTTCCTTAATTTATAATTGGAGATCTCGAATTAAGTAATTTGTTTTCACAGTTAATTCGGGGTCTCGATTTGTAACATCAGTCATGTGATTTTGGCAATCTGTGCTCTCGAATTTCATGACATATATGTACAAATATTTAATACATCCAACCATTTAAATCAGTTAGTGCGTTTTATTTATTTTGTTTCAGCAACCGGTTGTTTCGGACCTCTTTCATAACTAATCCAACATACTTTGATATAGATATATCATATTTATTGTAGAAATCTTATAATTACACAGTACCCATATTTACTTTTACTGTACAAGTCTATACAAGACTTCCAATTATTCTAATATACACATAACACAAAAGAGATTTTTTTTGTTTTTGTACAAATATCAGTACTAGCATATGAATTTGAAAATATTCATGTAATTTTCTCATTTTGTACCAATATGTAATAACAGGTAGAATGTAAACTACTACAATAATCTATTCATTATGTATTACCATATCCAATATGTACAGATAAATAATATTAATGAATTATGGGAAGGGTTTACATTCCAAGGGCACGAGTCGTTTAAACTAAGAAAATGAATTATACAATCCCAGATAACGGATTGTGTAATTTGAAGGAACGAATAAATAATCCGTGAGAACAAATTGGCAATTTGTTATAACAGATTGTCAATCCCAGAGAATGGATTGTATAATCCGAAAACTCGTTTACTTTTACACATTTTCAAAGTATGTCACTTGTGAAATTTGTAAAATCAAGGATTTTTTTAGAAGTATATTTTGGATAAGGACTCATATAGTGTGACTCAAAATCGCAGAGAAAATAGGGGTCAGTATGCATCTTACTGATCTATGGTACAATTAAGTTGACCCTTTTGCACATAAACTTTAACTCTTGGGTAAATAATTTTAACCATAGTCATAATTTATCGGATGTAACCATGGTAATAAATATAATTTGTTTTACTAAAAATAGTTTGAATAATACTTATAATTGAATGCGCGTAAATTATTCTGTGAACTTTTTGCATTAAAAAGTAACATAATTGAGGTATTTAAAAACTAAATAAGCAATAAAACAGTTGAATAAATC